AGTAGCGTTATGTAAGGCTTCCGTAACGACTTAGCATTTTACGTAACAGTTAAATCAGTAGCGTTACGTAAGGCTTCCGTAACGACAGTTATTTCTTACGTAACAGTTAAATCAGTAGCGTTACGTAAGGCTTCCGTAACGACTTAGCATTTTACGTAACGCGAGGTTAATACTCATTACGTAAAGACACTTTCTATTACGTAAGGCTTCCGTAGTGATCTTTTACAACTGTTACGTAAGACTTCAGTAATGACATTTTACAACCATTACGTAAAATACACATTCATTACGTAAAGGTTATGAAACTATAGTTATTTCTTACGTAACAGTTAAATCGGGAGCGTTACGTAAGGCTTCCGTAATGACTTAGCACTTTACGTAACGCGAGGTTAATACTCATTACGTAAAAAGACCTTCCTTTACGTAAAGGTTACGAAACGACATTTATTTCTTACGTAACAGTTAAATCAGTAGCGTTACGTAAGGCTTCCGTAACGACTTAGCATTTTACGTAACGCGAGGTTAATACTCATTACGTAAAGACACTTTCTATTACGTAAGGCTTCCGTAATGATCTTTTACAACTGTTACGTAAGATTACCATATGTTATGTAACCATTACGTAATGTCTGTTATAGTTTACGTAATACGACCTGTGAAACCTGCTCCCTGTCCATCCCTTCTCCCAGAAAAAATACTCGATTCCACTTGGCAGTTGGCTCTATGCATGTACTATTATTCTGGAATGGATCAACCTCATAAATTGGCCCCGTTCAGCCGTTCTCTTCCGTCCCGGCTTCCTAGCTCTCGATGACGACTGTAGCTTCTTTTTCCTTTTCCAACCATAAAATAACCACGGTAATTCCTCCTTCGTAGCCACCATGTACTCGAGGTCCTCGAACAAGGGTGGATAGTTGATTCTGGCCACCAATTCCCCTAGTCCAAGACGCCAACGGAAGTCTTGACGGTTGAATGAGTGCAGGCACGCAGCTGCATGTTAGAAACAAAGTTTCTAACGGGATTGATAATTGGGGATTTAGGGATTTGAAGAATAGAATTAGGGATTAAGAGGTAGAATTTGGGGAAGAACAAGAAAGAATGGCCGGCGGCCGGATTAGGAAAAGAAGAGAAATTGAGAGGATTTGGGAGAGAATAGGGTTTAGGGATTTTCTTAATATGCTTCTTATTGATTCTGAATGGAAGCCCAAAGTACATATATATAGGAAATAGTGGAAAACCCTAACAATAAACCTAATTCTATTAAATGACTACTAACCTTATTGATAATTACCCTAATAATAATTATATTAATAAATAGAGAAACCCTATAGAAATCGGTTTCTAACATCTCCTCCCCCTTCAGACTAACCTTGCCCTCAAGGTTGAACCACTTGACCCACTCTTTCTTCCTTCTCGCGCACTCTGCACGCTGACTCCATTTCTTGCGCTTCCGTTTCTTCCAATCGTGCTCCAACTCTGATATTGAACTTCTTGCCTTGTCAGCTCCTGTGAATCAACTCCCTTCCTCCAAGTCCTCGAAAGCTAGCCCAACTCCCATCATTTTCTCACACACCAAGGTAGGCTTTTGACTACTCGAGCTCATCCATGGCCCAATTCCCCTGCTAAAATTTGACCCGACCAATAAATAAGTGCCAACAGACTCTTCAATCTCCTTCTCTGTCTTCTCCTTCCTCGTCGTGTCGTCCTCCCTTACTCGAGCTAGCCTGCAGCAACCTTCTTTAGTAATTGGGCTTGTTGACCTGAGCCCAACATCGTACAAGAGATTCCACATTAAGCCTCTCTTGCGTGGCCCATACCTTGCTCGAGCCCATTCACTCTCCTCCTTCCCCAACTTTAGTCTCAGATCACCTCGGCCCATCTTCGTCTTCTCGTGGCCGAAGCATACCTCGACTGGCCCACTAAAACTCGCGACCCGACCGACTCGGCCCAAGGAGAAGGCCCCATGCCTAGGGTTCACGAGCGGAAGGACAGCGCCGCTCTCCTTCGTCACCTTCACCGTCCCTCTTCTTCTGGACGACAGCTTCTTCCCTAACGACGATCCTTTCGTCGTCGTCGACCCGCTCGCCCAACCGCCGGAGGTCAAGCCCGGCTCTTTCTCTTTGTTCCTGACTGTCGTCGTGGCACATGGAGATGACAGCGACCGCGGCGCCTCTTCAGTTTCTTTATTCATCGCCGAGTTGCTGCGCATCCGGTCAGGAGAAGTCGACCCCGGCTCCTTATCCATGCGCACACCTCCCATCCTCGCCGTCCCCTTATCCGCCAATAAACAGACCCCTTGGCGGATATGAATCACGTCGGGTTCTGTCCCCGCCCTCGACTCCTCCTCCTTCTTCTCGCCGGTAGTTTCCACGAGGGAAGCCGCCATTGGAATCGACTTCCCATGCTCCTCCGGAACTTTTCACTGCCGCGACCTCCGATCTCCTCGAGCGACATGGGGCTCTTGGAAAACTTTCTTTCCCTTCTTCTTCTTCTTCTTCTTCTTCTTCTTCTTCTTCTTCTCAATAGGTGTGATTTTCACCTGCTTCATCCGCTGGGAGTTTGACAACGAGGCAGGGGACAACCTCAATTGCGCCTCCGGCGAAGAGACCTGGCGTTCCGCCGTCGCCTCGACCTCGCGTCCTCGGTCGAAGACGGTGTCCAGCTCTGTGCCGTCGGACCCGACGCTAGCCCCGGCCAACTGCTCGTCATCGATGGTGACAGCGACCACCCTCTCTTGATCTCCTTCCTCGACAGCAGCCGGAATAAATCTTGCGGATATTTCAGCCTCGTCAGCCGCCTTCTCGCCCACTGTCAACGACTGCTTCTCTGCTGCATCTTTGATTGTAGCTGGGGCAACAGCTTCTTCTCCGAGGATAGAAGCCACAGCCAGCTTTGGCTCTCGCGACTCCGGTACTGGGACGGTGGTGATGATGCTTTTGATGGTGGCATGATCTTCTTCCTGCGCGAGCGGTAGCTCCTCAGGGATCCAACGACGTCCGATGCGGCGGGCCCGTTCCCGCAGTTCCGCCCATGACAGGTCCGAGAGCCTTGAAGAGCTCATCGTCGAACCAGTTGTAGAACTCGTCCCTGGTTGAGAGTTGTGAAAAACTCAATTCTCGAAACCGGGCTCTGATACCAAATGTTAGAAACAAAGTTTCTAACGGGTTTGATAATTGGGGATTTAGGGATTTGAAGAATAGAATTAGGGATTAAGAGGTAGAATTTGGGGAAGAACAAGAAAGAATGGCCGGCGGTCGGATTAGGAAAAGAAGAGAAATTGAGAGGATTTGGGAGAGAATAGGGTTTAGGGATTTTCTTAATATGCTTCTTATTGATTCTGAATGGAAGCCCAAAGTATATATATATAGGAAATAGTGGAAAACCCTAACAATAAACCTAATTCTATTAAATAACTACTAACCTTATTGATAATTACCCTAATAATAATTATATTAATAAATAGAGAAACCCTATAGAAATCGGTTTCTAACACTGCAATTGCCCGCTTCCTCCAGTGAATGGTGACGACGATGGCCCGCTCGACGCTGGTAAAAGGTCTTCTGAGGATGGCGGCGTCATCAGCTTCGATCGGCATGGCATAATCATCAATGGCGTCAACTATGTGGAGGAATGTGTATCCCTTCTTCTTCAGCTTCTCTAAAAGAGAGTTCTCCATTGCCTTCTTGCTCTCTTCGGTAATGTAAAAGAAGTCTTTCTGACCTAATTCCTTCATTCTGGGCACGTTACCCTTCAAGTTGGTCGGCCAATCAACAGACGGTGCAACTAGTGCGATTGTGCCAAGTGGAGGCTTGTTGATGTCTGACGGCTCCGCATCAGTATTGCCTTCAATTTCCAAATTCTTAGCGCCCGCAACCTTGTGGAAGGCGCTCGTTTGCCTTGCGGCGGAGTTTGTGGCGCCACCGATGCTGACGTTGAGTGGTGCAGCTGGATTTGGTCCAAGCACTGGAGCTGCCAACGTACGTATATGCAGTTGTGACCGACGCCGCGTCACATCGGATTAATAGTGGATGATGAGAACTCTTCACACCGTGATGGATCCAGTACCAGGGTTAGGGCTTTGTCTGGCATATTGGCGGCTGGTGGCGGTTCTTTGTATGATGTAGGTGGCTGCCTCCGAGCTAGGGCTGGTTTGGCGCCAACGATCGCAACTGCGCCAATTGGCGATGGCATAGGCGGTCACTTCGGAACTGCGGCTAGCTCTTCCGTTGACGGATCTGATGCTGGCATAAGCTTCAACTCGGTGGCGGCGAGTGACGTCGGTTCGTCCTTGCTGTCCATTGGTAGAGAGTGGCGATTACGGTCAGAATGGTGAAGCGGTGGAGTTGGCGCGGGTAAGCTGGTGGCGATGATGTAACCGGGAAAGTTGCGGATGAGGCGCTCCTCCCATCCGGCCGGTTGTAGGAGCATACTGGCGATAGACAGTATCCCTTAATTGGTCCTTGCTCATGGGGTCAATTCCAACTGAATGTCATTGTGTACGATGGGTAGCAATCAAGCGGTGTGTGATGATGAATAACCTGGATTCTGGGTTGTGTGAAACACCAGGCTAGGCTCTGATACCAATTGTTATCTGATACAGAATTGAAGAATTCTTGACTCGTAACCATCTTGCGATAAAACTAACAAATTACGATAAAACGCTGTAAATTGTGATAAACGAAAGACAATAAACTAGATTTGAGTTCCAATCTTCTTCATATCCTTAAACGAAAGACAAGGTATATATTTATAGGCATAGAAGCCTCTACCTTCTCCTATCTAGAACATGAATACTAGTCCCACAAGTAAACGATAATCAATTCCTAAACATACTAGAAAACAATCACAATCCTACTAAGACAATTAAACAATAATAATATCCTCAATAATATGAAATACGAACTAATTAATAAAACTACTAAAAATTATATGAGTCCGTAAATTCCTAAATTGTCACGATGACTCCTCTCGTAACATCTCGCCCTCTCCGCTTGAAAACAATCGGGTCATCGACCTGGTCCCTCCGGGTCAACCCGAGAAGCGGCAATTTGCACCCGACAGAGGCGTATCTCATCGCCCCGCCGATCAAAACCCTATCAGATTCTGCTTTCGTTGCGCACTATGCTCCCAAGGAACATTCTCTGGAGGTCAGAGCACCCATCCCGTCCGATTTCTTCCCCAGGAATCTGCTCCCCGAGGGTTCGTTCATGGTCGGGATCGCGTCGATTTTCTGGCGGGAGGCGTGGAAGTACGGGGAGCGGGCGTTTTGCTACTGTAACCACGACGTTAGTCATGCGATCGCCGCGATCTCCATTGCCGTCGCTGAGCTCGGGTGGGATGTGAAGTTGCTAGATGGGTTAGGGTTTGAGGAGCTGGAGAGGCTCATGGGGCTTCACCCTTATCAGGACTTCCCAATTCCTTATAAACCAACGAAAGGCAGGATTCCGAGTATTGAGTTCGAGCATCCGGATTGCGTGCTTCTCGTCTTCCCTGGTGAGCTCTGTGACTTGAATGTGAACAATCAGCAACTGTGCGCTGCAGCTTGAGATTTGATAGGTTGGATTGGAAGGGAAACCCGAATTCGCTGAGTAAGGCGCATGTGTGTTGGAATGTCATTTACAGAACGGCTGAGGCTGTTAAGAAGCAGTCATCATTGTCATCGCTTGAAGAAGCTGGATTCTCCAATATTGAACCAGTTCAAGGGAGTGGAGTTTTCAGTGCAAGTTCCTACAAGGGGTTTACGGTGAAAGAAATTGTTAGGAAGAGGAGGAGTGCAGTTGACATGGATGGGGTTACTGAGGTGGACAAGAACACATTTTAACAGATCATGTTACACTGTCTGCCTTCTGGCTCTGGAAGCGGAGGGAAGCAGCAGCGGCAGAAGAAGCAATTGGCGTTGCCATTTCGTGCTCTCTCGTGGGATGCCGAGGTGCACGCAGCGTTGTTCGTTCATCGGGTGGACGGGTTGCCAAAGGGGCTGTATTTCCTGGTGAGAAATGAGGATCATTTGGATGAGCTGAAGAAAGCCACTAGACCCGACTTCAAGTGGGAGAAACCAGAGGGACGTTCTGATGATTTGCCCTTGTACGAACTTGGTAGAGGAGATTGCCAGCAGATTTCCAAAGCACTTTCCTGCCATCAGGTGTGCCGTCAAGTGAATCTGGGATTAGTGCAGAATTTGTAGGAGCGAAACTGGGATTTGGAATGTAACAGACTAACAGTTTAACTTTTGGATGCAGGATATTGCCAGCGATGGCTGCTTTAGCCTTGGAATGGTGGCTCGTTTTGAGCCTGCATTGCGAGACAAGGGTACGTGAATGTACCCTCGACTGTTCTGGGAAACTGGAGTGTTAGGACAGGTTCTGTACCTGGAAGCACATGCAGTTGGCGTCTCTGCCACTGGAATTGGCTGCTTCTTTGAGGATCCTGGTAAAGCATATAATGGTTTCCTTCTTTCGCCTTGAATTTTCGGTATCTGCCACCACTGACTGACTCTCTTTCGCTGTTGACGCTGTTCTTTTGTTGTTTGTTTGGCAGTCCACGAGCTACTCGGATTAAGAGGGTCTAGATTCCAGAGTCTGTATCATTTCACTGTTGGAGGTCCTGTTTTGGACATGCGAATTATGAGTCTTCCAGCTTATCCTGGACCTGATATGGATGCATGACAGACGAAATCATTCATTCGATCACAGTTTTTTATCGGCATTAATATTGTATTATGTTACGCAGAAGACTTCGTAGTTTGAGGGTAGAACAAATCCTTATACCTTTAGGGGTCGTTTGCTTGTGGGATTTGGGTGATGGATTTGGAACCCAAATCCCAAGCATCATGGAGTTGACACAAATCCTTTGTTTGTTGAGGGACACAAATCCGTGGGGTCCACGGATTTGGACCCCTTTTTTAGATCCAAATCCGTGGCCCCCACGAATTTGTAAATCCCACATTTCATTTGAGATTTGACAATAGAAGGAAAAAATGTGAGACAAATCCATCACAAATCCATGATAAAAAATAAACTAAACAAACAATGTACTCTTCCAAATCCATGATGCAACAAATCCATCATAAATCCAAAGGTTTTTAAAACTCAAAACCTTCATTTTCAAATCTAACAAGCAAACGAGCCTTAGTCTTCAGAGTTAAACCCCTGTAACGATAGAATATATGTGCCGGCCGTTAGATATTTCACTAGTTCTATAGACATAGGAACGAAATCATATGTAACAAAAAAGAATGCCTATCCAGGTGTAAGCATCATTATATTACCCTATTGTATTTGTGCATGTATAATGGTTTGATTTTGATACATAAAAAAATGCCACAGGAAACATAATCAAGAAGATAGAGTCGTCTCCCAGCTGCTTCTCCTTCTGGTCACAACCTATTCTCTTCCTGTCCACGGGATATATTTACATGTCTTCCAACTCTGAGCTCTATCAATGAAGGTCCAACAGTTTCTGAAAAGCTGCACCAGCATCAAATGCAGAATCATTCATGGCTCATCTTAGTGAGGCTTTTTCCTGATTCAGAAGGGATAGCTGCCTGATGGAACAATCTAACTGCAGTTGTCTTGACCAAGTGCTTGAGATGTCTCGGGCCAAATTCGATCCAATTTTCAGAAGACCATCTCCAAGAGTCTTGGCTCGATAGAAGATGAGATTCCCAGAAGATCTGTTCAGTGAGGAAGTTATATCCTTCCTCCTTTGGGATCAGCCAACAACATTATCAAATTCTAATGATGCCGGACAAAACCAAAAGCTTGTGCTAACCCTTTGAACAGTATCACAAAAAGAAGAGGAAGATATCGAATGGAACTGGAAAAAGGCTATCGATATCGAAGCTTATCAGATCGCCAACTTCGTATTTAAACGAATCCAAGAAGAGTCCAAGAGAAAGACCAAACTTCCAATAGTTGAACATAGTGATCAAGCTCTTGATGTTGCTGAGTAGGCGCAAAGAACCCTTGTACATGAGTGCTCCAATGGCTTCCACAATCACCACAGCCAGACCAGCCGATAGAATGTCCCAGTCACCGGTCTGGCCAATCACAGTAGCAAAGGCAGTAGCACAGTAGAAACCAACCAAGAAAAACAGCAATTTCATTGGTAAATTCTTCCTTAGCTCCTGGATTCTCATCCCAATCCGGGTCTGCAGAGCACGAATTGCCCTAATTAACCGTGTTCCACCGCCACTACTGTCATCCGAAGAAGGGGAATCGAATCCACTGCCATTGGTGCTGCTTCTAATCTGCCATACCCTGCACCGGGGAAACTAAAAGATAAGCGTTTATCACAGTTTCAGCAAAACCCTAATTTCATATAATGGTGATGGGATTAAATTAATTGGAACAAAGCAGTGAACCCTAGGTTAAGAAATGAATGCTTCAGCTTGAGTTGACTCACTCGAAACTGTTGATCAAATACGGCTCAGTAACTCGACAGCTGGGGAATTGGAAAGGGAGAACCGTAATCCTGTAATGCCTACTGAAAGTTCCGGTGGAGGAGAAGGAGAAGTGCGTAATTGCACTTGTAAATTTCAGGCGATGTGCAGAATGAAGTTTAGCAACATTTCGCGGCAGGTTCGACAACGGCGATGGAGCCGTTGCTGCCATACGCTTCCTCCGATGTTCGGCCGGTGAAACCTCCTGCCAAAACACAACAAATTGAATCGGGAGCCGGAATATTAGCGCAACGATACATTTTCTGTTCGAACAGAACAACCACCACCGAGGAAGCGCTCTACGGTATAGTGAATACTACGCCTAATTGGTTTTCGATTAGACATTACGAGAGAGAGAAATGATGGAGACGAAATCTTACAGTCGAGGGAGATAAAAGAGTATATATCTTCCACAAATGGCGTCTAGCGGCTGAATGTCTTTCCTAGCAGCTTTCTGGTTTCCGACGGTGAAAGCGGAGCGAGAAAGTTTTGCTTCCGGCCGCAGGAGGAAGTGGAAGAGTACCTTTGGTTAGCCTGGCTTGGTTCAGCTTCTAAAAATCGCAACGCCTAGCGACGTTTCCTCCATTTAATTTAATTTAATTGCAGTGTGTGGGCTGGGAAAGTAGTATTTGGATTGGGTTGTAGGGATGTTGGCTGAGGAAAGAGAAGGCCCTGGCCCGTGGGGGTGGGGTGGGCAGTGAAGAGAAGAGTAATGGACCGGGCCATGTGTCTTCTGAATTAGATAGACTATGGGATTCGGCCAATTGTTTCGAACGGGGCGGAGCTATGTTGGCTCTCGGGGGGCCTGGCTTAGGTAACCAGAGCGTAGAGCGAGAGCGAGAGAGGGAGCGTCGAGTTTTAAAGAATTTTATTTGGAGAGCGTGAAAAGAGCGTTAATAGTATATTATTATTAATTTTTTATAAATATATTTAAACAAAATTATACTTTCTTATGATAAAAATATAAAGATACAACGAATAAAATTATAAGAATGGATCACAAAAATACTTCTTCCAATATGCTTCCCATTGCTTAACTATGCAACCTATAACATGCAAGACATCCAACCTCACTTTACCTATTAAATAAGTTCAAATGACATTTTATTAGGTATCATTTATCAATCATATTTAACAGGTGGATACATTCAAAATTGCCACATACTACTCGGCTGACATAAAAGGCTATTGAGAATTAGTTAAATAAAAAACTTCAACAAGTTGAACAGGGAAGCAGATCCGGTGAGTAACCTTGTGGTGAGTAACCCCATGTATAACCCAATAAGAATCTGCCACATCAGCGCCTCCTTCTCTCTCCTGGAAAAATCATTAATTTTCTTTCCCTTAATCTTTAACGGACGATTTCTCACTCGTTTTAACTCGGAATTTAATTTTTTTTTGCACAGTTAGATCAGATTAATTGTGCTCTTCAAAATTATATCCACTTTGATATTTTTTGAAACAAAAAAAATTTGCTAGTTATTACCAGTCTATACCATATGGTATTGACTGGTATTAAATAACAGCATACCATATGGTATGAAAAATACCAGTCAATACCATATGTTGTTATTTAATACCAGTCAATACCATATGGTATTAAATAACATCATACCATATGGTATAATAAATACCACCTCATACCAGGGTGGTATAGTATGGTATGGAGTTGGTAACGAGAGGTTTGCAAAAATTTCCCCCAGAAATTTTTGAAATCCAATAGATCATGATTAAATCGTTCCTTTTTTGCAAAAATTTCCGAAAATGACGAAACAACGAAGGAGATACCATATGGTATGGAGTTGGTAACGAGGGAGATGAAAAAAAAAATTCTCAAAAAATATTGAAAATGGATATCATTTTGTAGAGAACAACGAACTCGTTCCATTTGTGCAAAAAAAATTGAAATCCGAGTTAGAATGAAGAAGATATTATCCAATTAAGAAAACTAGGAGAAATAAATTCTTTTGATTCTTCACCCTTAGATCTGCAGACACTTAAAAGAAGGGTCCAAATTTAGTTACTCATTGTTACTCACCCTATCTTGAGCCAGTTGGACAGAGCTCTAACCCCAAATCCCGGGAATGGATCAGGTCAGTAACTTTATGGTGAGTAACCATGAGTAACCCGTCCTCATCTGCATGACATCAGCATCCTCTCTCTCATGGAAAGCCTTTAATTTTTTCCTCTTTAACCTTTGACGGACGATTTCTCACTCATTTTAAGTCGAAATTTAAATTTTTTTGCACAGTTAGATCAGATTAATTGTGCTCTTCAAAATGATATCCACTTTAATATATTTTTCGAACAAAAAAAATTGAGCCATTTTTTACCAGCCTATACCATATGGTATTGACTGGTATTGAAATAAAAGCATACCTATGTTTTGAAAAACGTACCATGGTGGTATAGACAAACCAATACTGTAGGATGGTTGAATACATGATAGTAGAAGTATATCAACTGTAATTTACGACTTTTAACATTGTATACCACACAATACCACCCGTACCAGGGTGGTATTGTATGGTATTGTGTGGTATTTTTTGGTCCTGTAATTTGTTCACCCAGAAATTTGTAGATCCAATAGATCATGATGAACTCGTCCCTTCTGTGCAAACGTTTTCAAAAACGAATTAAAAATGAAGAAGATACCATACAATACCACCCTGTACCAGGGTGGTATTGTATGGTATTGTGTGGTATTTTTTGGTCCTGTAATTTGTTCACCCAGAAATTTGTAGATCCAGTAGATCATGATGAACTCATCCCTGCTGTGCAAACGTTTTCAAAAACGAATTAAAACGAATAAGATACCATATGGTATGCAGTTGGTACCGAGAGGCCAAATTTTTTTTTCCTAAAAAAATATTGAAAATTGATCTCATTTTGTAGAGCACGGTGAACTCGTTCCATCTGTGCAAAAAAAATTAAAATCCGAGTTAAAACGAAAAAGATATGAGTCAATTAAGAAAGCTAGTGAAAATAAAAATAGCTTTTAATTCTCCATCCTTAGATCTGGATTTTCTAAATGAATGGTCCAGATTTGGTTATTGATGGGTGCATAACCCATGGTTATGCACCCTATCTTGAGCCCCAAATCCCTAGCTAAGCATGTTTCCAGCAAGCATTTGAAAAACATAAAGGCCACCATACATGACCTTCCTCCTTGTGACCTCAATTGATGGCAGCAAAAGTCGATCTCAATATGCGGCTGGGAGAACAGGGGAGCTTTGGAACAAGGAATTAAGGAAAACCAGTAGAGCTCAAGAAACAGAGCAGGTGAAACAGGGGAGAGGAAGATAATCACATACACTAACTGCTCATCGAAGGAGAAAGTGCAAAGCAATAAAGTTGAAGAAATCAAACTTCGCCCTTTTCGGCATCTTGTCTTCTTCTCTGCTTCTTCCACTTCCTGCTATGAAACCCCTAAGAAGTAGAGAAGAGATGGGGAAAAAATCACCTTTTTGACTGTTGGTGGAAACTGAAAATCAAGCTCAAAGTCGAGCATATGCTTCGCCCCGGCCTGGTCTGAGAAGCTTTAATCAATTAACCATGAGGAAATTTAATCAATTAACTTGGTGAAGAGCTGAGAGAAGCTTTCACATATGTTCTAATCCGCGCTCCCAAATTGAGCAGTATGCGAATTTAAGACGATTTGCCTACAAACCGCGTTTTCACGCGTTGGAGCGGGGACGTGGAGGTCAAAGCCACGAATTGGGTGACCTAAGCCCCGACCTCCCCGAGAATTTTGAAACTTACGTATAAAGTCCAGGAAATTTTGAGAGTTACGTATAAAATTAATGTTTAACATATCTAACTTCCGTGTGATACATAATTGACATTATCTGCTTATAGTCTAGCGGATATGTAGCCGAATTACAACCTCAAAGGTACCGGGTTCAACCGTAGTAGGCAGCCTTTTTATTACTATTTTAACTGTTTTTTTTTTCATTCAGTTCAATCCTCTAATTTTCCTGCTTGGTCTTATAAATCCTATGATTTCATATAACGTCGGTCAAGTTACTTTAATTTATGGCTCCGCCCTTTGTTTCGAATAAACTCCAACCAGTGATTGTCTAGAAAAAGAATTCCAAAAGTACACACTGAAATCTCAGGTCGGTTTCACATGCGTATTGGTTCTCAACGCACAGATTCCAAAACTGAAAACTCGACCGATTAGGAATTCAATTTATAATAATAATAATAATAATAATAATAATAATAACGCGTCATTTACAAGTTAAATCATCTGTGACAAAACCACTCTCTATGTACCTTGAAAATGGTCAGCAATACTTTAATTTGAAGGAAACTGTGAAACTTTGGTGCCAGACTAGCATGTTGATAAGCTGCAGGCTCGCCGTCGGCCAATTAAGAAGCTTATTACTTCCGCTTCGAAGTAGAATTGTAGTGTGGCCTTTCCGACGTCGAAACTACCAAGCTCACTAGAGACAGAGAGAGCCTCGATGCTCCGCAACGTTAACGTTGACAACCCACTCTCCCAGTTGGGACGAACTACAAGTAGACAGTCGTTTGATAGGGTGTCGTCAATGCATGGTAATACTAATCACGATTTCCCGCCATTTTTGTTCGCAAATTAATCACGATGCCAATGCCATAATGGGTCTGTTTACACCTAAAATATTTTTGGCTCAAATATTAAATTAATGCGGCATCGCGAGATTAACGATGTCGCGAGCTAAACAACATCGAGGTGGTCGACGATGCCGCGAGCATAGCGGCGTCACAATTCCAATAGCCTTGAAGATTCAACAACGCCGCGATGTCACGAGTTTCACGACATTGTGAGTTTAGTTGTTACAAGATCGATGATGTCGAGTTCAACGGCATCGCAAAGCCAACACCGTCGTGGATCTCAACGGTGTCGGAAGTTCAACAACACCGTGGATTCAACGACTTCGCGAGCTGAGCGATGTTGTGAGTCCAATGGTGACGTGGGGTAAAACAACGATGTTGTTTAATTGGACGGTGGGGTCTTGTTAGTTGTTCAAAATCAACGGCATCGTTTTGGCGGCTTTGTTGGAGGAGGCATAAACGACATCGCGGGCTCATGAAAATAAAGGAGTTATTTTCTTGCATGTAAGATTTACGCAAAACAGTTGAGGAAGTAGTTCCACGGAACGTGAAGACTACGCAACTGATTTCAAATAAAATCACCGGAGCAAGGAGAGAGAAAGGAGAAAAAAAATTAACACAGAAATACATCTATCAAACTTATCTTTTTCTCTGTAACTCCTTCGCGGAGCTCTCCTTCCAGGAAGGATCGCCATAGTCGTAGCAGTAGTCATAGTCACGGAGCTCTCAACAGTAATCTCCATAGGAGTAGTTTAACATAGATTCCCCAAAAACTCAAACACCCTCGTTCAAACGTAGTTTGGAGAGGTGCGAACCGTAGTAACGATCGTCTTATTAGAAGTCAGAGGTGGATCGATCAAATCAACACCGCTCGCTGAATATTTGACGATCGTCTTCGTTTTCAGAAATGATAGTTGCGCCGATTGCCACAACTTGCTACCAACGGTACCATGTATGATC